ATTTCAATTATACACACAAGAATTGCACTTCATATTGGGTGAGGTAGGACGAGGCAAGATTCCTTAAAGAAACGATAGGGATGGAACGCGAGGGTAAGAGCAGCATCTACTCACTCTACTTTAAAGCAAAGAACGATCTGGACTTTTTAAAGCACTATAATACACTACGGATACCGATTCAATCTTTTTTCACTCGACCAGTAAATGTCTCCATCATTTTGTTGCCACCTAGATGATTTCTTAGTATCCCCAAAACGGATGACGGTAGAAAACTGGAAATAATCTGCTTGAAAAAAATGCCCAACACATTCCAGGTCTTAAGAACACATCAACTTCGACAGTACTGCACCTGTTTTTATACATTTTAGCACCAAATTACGAATACTTCGAAAAGATATCAATCGATATCTACTCATCACTAGTCTGTGGAGGAAAGTTCCAGCGATTTTGTTTCTTCACAGAACAGTAATGGGTAGAAGGATTGGATCGACGCTACGACGACCCTAATCCGACGAGACGTCACGGTTCTACTCTACTTTAGTGTCCAGTAACCATTTAATTGAAACAGTTAATATCAATACTGTGTTTCAAATGTGTGTTATGTAGCCAACTCTTTCAATCGAACATTTCAGCACATCTTGCTGAGTTGAAAAAATTTCCTACTCACCCGCCAAAAAACATTACGATGTAGTTAAACCGAGGTATGGCGATGAGTTCTTTGTCAGTAAGAACAGCTTCCATAATGCAATCGACCACATAATCAGGTTGGAGCACAGGCAATAATGTCGGTGATCTATAATAGTGCAAAATATGTAGGTCGATGTAAACCAATATGCAATCTATAGGAAACAGACTTCGTTTGCACTCCATCAAACATTCCAGTATCGATGTAGTACGGGCATACAACAGTCGTCTTCACTCCATGCTTGCCAAGCGAGTCCAGTTCAGCTGTCAATGACTCGTGGAAACCTATGGCGCCGTGCTTCGATGCGCAGTAATCGACCTGCAAATGACAAAGAATTTATAAGATATTCTTTTGACCTTTATTCTTTTTCCTTTTCTGGGAACTTTGGAAAGACTATAACACGGAAAAACTTACCCCCTAAATAGTATTTCCAACTCACTCCCTTTTGTTTCTGCTGATAACAATCATTTTAAATCAGTTCAAGCCCCAGCCCCAACAAACCGTTACAACACAATCATATTTTGTTTTTCCGACGTTCAGAAAAACGTCATGAGCGCATAAGCGCTCATGTGTAATTTTATTTTGCTCTTATCTAATCAGAGTGCACTCTTTCCGAGTAGATGCTCACCGAAAATCGGAAACGCAATAGCTTCTCAACTACCCGATTTCAAAAACGCTTCGTTACAAATTTGGAAAGAAGAGGCGTTCGGGACATCCTCATAAGAAGTGGGCTCCATTCGGAGCGAAAAACAGAGCTAGCAGGACCTAATGTAGTATCCATCATTACTCACCAATCCGGCTACACCAACTTTGCCAGCAATGGACGCAATTGTCACCACATGGCCGTGATCAGCTTCGAGCATTCCTGGTACGAAGGCCTTGGTGGTCTGGAAATTGTCCATTTTACGCGAGAAATTATTTTTAAATGTTGACAGCAAAGAACATACGTAGAATAGAGCGTGTGTATTAACAGCCATTGTCAGCTCCATTAGCTCATCGGGGCAGTCAAATATCTTTTTGCCTGAAATGAAATTGTCTTGTGTCTTCCGAAAATGGGCAATTCTAATACATGCAAAAAAGAACGTGTACCTGTCACGATTCCTGCATTGTTGACGAGAATATCCACCTTGCCAACTTCATGCTTTACCTTCTCAGCCGTACTATAGATCTGATCCCTCTTGCTCAAATCGACGGTGTAGGCATGCGACTGAAAATGTTTTATTTATAATCACAGATCACTAGTTTTGCCATGTTTATGGTTATCTTCAGATTGGCGCTTCGTAGAGTGGACGAATTGGCGGGACATGACAATTTACGCAACTTGGGGGCAACGGAAGTACTATGAAAGGGACAAATGCAAATCATTCGCTCGACTGAGAAGTGGTGAAACTGTAATGTCATCTCGAGATCCCAATGGGCTGCGCCGCGCGCGAAGTGGGCGGGGTAACCTACCGGACACGCGCAACGGACGTTCCCCCTTGAACCAGCCCCAAGCGGATTCGCCGAATTGCCATTCCGGCCCGAACCATGGCCAACGAATCCTGTTTCAGAACTCAGCAGTCCCAGGATTAATTGATGTACATGACTGCACAAATAAAGCTCTTTTGAAAAGTAACTTTACAAGCGAAGAATATCTTCCCCTGAATGGTTGAGCTCATGAAAGTGGATAAAAATTTCCACGAGAGTTAATCAATCCAATTTTGCTGTTGTTATCGAGCCGAGGATCGATTAATGGACCTATCGTATTGTAGCGGTGCCATTCAACATTATCCCAACATCGCAGCTACATTTTCTAGGAATAGCTTCAAATTTTTTTAATTCGCAGAATTCCTTCTCCCCGCCCTTTTGCAAGTCAGAATGGATAGTTATTATACATGTGCAAACCTCCTTTTTTGAGGCTGCGCTTTGCGGCAAGTAGTCTGCGAAAACTATGGCCGCCGCTACGAGGAGGTGGCTTATGATAGCTTCTCATGAGTTCATCTACTAAGAACCACTTTCAGGAGCCTGTTCCACAGCCGAAATGGGACCAAACAATTTTGTAGTTGTTTCTCTCTGCTTTTCTGCATCCAAAACGAAAGGATTTTGGTATGAAAGAATGGACATTTCGAGTTCTGGTTGCACTTTTGAAATGAAACCCTGTGGCTATGATCGCAGACTAGTTGATGTTAACCTTTTGCCATGTAAGACCGTCTTATAGAGCTACTGTGACACTATGTTAAAAAAATGAGATCTGGTATGGACAGAAGTTACTAGTAGGATCCCATAAAACAAGGTCCATACAGTTTGGGTTGAATCGAAGCGAAGGAGTACATATTGACCGGTTCCGTAGATCACATAGTTTGGTCACTCGCCTTTTGCTGGTGACAGAACACGCAATTTCATGTACTAGTTAGAATCCACTTTTCATGTTTTTATCATATGATTAGGTGTTTTCATTTTTCACTGTGTTTCAATCAACTAGTATATCTGACTTACCGGTATCAGATGGTCTTGTTTATCTGTCGATTTGTTCACGTCAGAATTTTAGTGAGTACACATTATTCTATTTTTTTTCTGGTGTACTCACGCAGGCTTCTCGCTATTTTTAACCTATTCGTAAACATATAACTGAAAGCATCAAGGTACAATTCATGTCTCAGCGACGCTCAAGATTAAAATGACACCGACTGGTCCCATTACGAACCTATTGGCTTTATTTGTTGCAGATGACACCTCACCCCTCCTATTATCACGGTTATTCGGATCAATGGGACCACTGCTACAGTCGCTATCCTACTTCAACGTCACGACGGGGTTTCACCCATTGTTCCAGGCGAGTTTTCCTATCCGATCTCTTGAATATGCACCACAAATAGCGCTGTCCCTCACGACAACCTGATGGATTGGGAGCGCCAGAGTTCTTTGCTCCACCCTTCGGTCACACGTTCAAAGGGACTTTCTTTTCCATTAAGAGCGAAGCAGATTTTTACATGCATAGATTGGACTCGACAGGCTCCTATTTTCCATACATTCAAAATAATAGTCCTGACACGAGTACTAGGCCTCTCGCGAGGGTGAACATTTCGCGACTGCGCCATTTATAGTGCGACGCCAACGTCGGCGACGGCCGTCGATCGATGAGTGGTGAAATAGTATGCTGCTTTGAGAAACCCATATAGCTCAGACGGCGGCACCTCAGACGGCGGCACAATCGTATGGGAATTGCACCGTTCATCTTCTTTTTCCTTCGCAAAAGGTACAGTTTCGGCGTTGAACGCCAATCAATAACTCGCATACCTACTCGTAGTACCAGCATTAGGACACCGGCATTATAAATGCACACTGTACACACTGTACTTTGGCATTACGGGCCATACCCATAGTGATATCTCATACTTTGCCGCCTTTGGCATAGCTAATGTGTTTTCATAAGGTATGCTGACTGCTAGGCTGCTTGGGCAAGTTAACATGTTACGTTGCAGTTGTGGTTGTATATAGGCCCTGTCCGATCCCGTTTGCCACCAGTCTGACCGAGGCTGCCGTGATTACGCGCTCATTACCCCACGCGGCTTCCGAGTTTTGAGTTTTGATCTATAGCATGTTGCGCGCGAGGTAGCTTACTGAATGGTTTCCATCATTTGCACTTCCTAAGGATGGTGTTAGAGAGATAAGAACCTTTAAATTAGAAGAATGAATTATATTGGCTGAATACGTACTTTTGACGAAATTCTGTAATCTCAGGCGAAATGACGTCCGTCACTATGGACCCTCGCGTACCCATTGCCCAAACTCGTCGTCTCCGACAACTTTTCCACACTTAAAAGACTCGCTTCTCGGTGATGGGCAACATCCTAGAGATCGAGCTGCCGCGGTACGGTATTCTACTTGAAATATTGCAGTGGACGCAATGATAGAGTTTCGCTATCACAACATTACGATAGATGAACTTTCGTAAAGGAAATTATGTCAATCAAAAAGATAATATTGAAAAGCTCTGATATTTCACAAATTGTTATAGGACTTTGCCAGCGTGACATCTACAGCTCGCCGTTCGAGGGTTTCCTCTAGCTCTTCCTCATCATGTTCTATGCCACAACTTCCATCACCACCAAAGCATCCCCAGCTCCTTAAAGTGAGTTTGCAGTAGTTATTGAGCCTCGTACGTGAGAGGCTAAAACTAATTACCAAACAACACTACCAATGACTACTGCAGCTGTTCCCCTTCGTGTGTTCCTTATGGTAAAGTGTAAGCGTTGATGAGGTGGTCGGTCTCAGTGGATGCTATAGATCATTGAATAGGCAAGAATAGGCAGTTGTAGGGGTCGGAGAGGGACACCCGTAACGGTTGTGAAGTGAGGAAATGATGACAAATCGACTCGCCGGAGACGGTGACAACTAACATGTATCAACAGGATCAACAAGTTAATCCAACCTTCTTACGCGTATTCCGCTTGCAATCAATATAGCAGAGAGATTGACCTGGCTGTCGTTTACTTTGAATCCGCAAGTCTGAACATGATTTTACCTGTTCTAACAAATCCCGAATTACTGACGCATGGGGTCATTAAAGAGTCTTCATTCTCCCAGATATGTGTTCCCATTCGCAGATGAAGCATATCCCAACATTCCGCCCTCCAATTTCGTCCCGGGCTTTTCGCCGACGCTCTTTACAGCTCACTTCTGAGGTGGTTTTCTGTTACAAACTAAATCGATCTTCTATTTGGTTTTGAGGGGTTGAAACGATAAACGGAAACTTATTTGCAGACGATGCTTTGCGACTTCTGGAGACGTGGAGAAATCTGTAGATACGAGCCGAACTGTTGGTTTGCACATGGGCCGACGCAACTTCGAACAGCGAACGACAACCTTCCCACTTTTAACGAAGTGAGTTTCGTATTATTCTATGTGTGGACAAGTGTACTGATTTTGGCTATTGACGAAATGATGACTCTAATCAGTTCAAGGTTTCCGCTCTATCGAATGGTTTGATTGCTGGACAGTTTACGTTGGATTCTTTGAATCAGTTAACACCGGAACAGCAACAGTGGATGATTCTATCACAACAAGGGCATGGCTTTCCTCCACCATCCCAGAGCGTGAGTAAAGAGATATCAAATTTTAACGAATATGTTGAAGCAAGTGATTGCTGCTGTGACAATGTGACTACTGTAGTATCAATGAATGTTCCCAATTAACAACCGAACTACTTTCAAGGGAAATTCGTAATCCTAGTTATAAAGTTTGAGCCTGGATGTATTACATGGGCATTTTTCTATAGGTAACATCCCCCCTCATATAAACGACAGCCTGAAACCTTCTGTCATTAAGGATCTACCGGCGGCTGTCCGTACATGCGAGGAACTCGAAAGAGAGCAGACTCTATACTGTCAACTAGTGAGTTTGACGATATTTTGCAAATTACTTGAAGTATGACCGCAGGTGTTCTAGCGTGCCATGAGCAGAGCAGTAGAGCATGTGTCGCCGTCTACTTCTGGTGTAGATTCTTTACCTTCTTCGGGACCACCCAGTCCCAGTTTCAGTGGTGCTTTCTTTTCATCAGCTATTGATAAATCTATTAGAGATCAGGTACATATCATTTAAGAGCAAAATCACAGCATAAGCTTTATGCAGAAAAGCGTTTAGGCTCTATCTGCATTAACTGCTATGGTCAGCAGAGGACTGCCATCAGCAACCCAGGATTATTATGTCAACTCTGCGAAGGTTTGCGGCCAGTCACTGCACTTTTGCTACCATATTCTCATAAGAGTAAGCTGAATATAGCTTAAGAAAACAGAAGAAACCCCATATCACTAAGCTTAATCTTTAACAGAGACGAAGGTGGCTCAGTAGTTTTCAGTTCAGGAGGAATGCCCATTGCACCAATATGGCTGCTGTCCCTTCAAGGAAGATTGTTTTTTTGAGCACACAGACATGATGATGAAATGATATACATTGCCGTAATCTAACGCCATACCGTAAAATAGGAGGTGAGCAAAGAGAGGTGCAGGACTAAGCAATTCATGCTAACTATCCTCAGTTGAATTCAACATTGTACCTGTGAATTTTTTTGATTTGGTCTGTGAGAATTAGGTTTGTTCAGTTGCAATTTCGAGTAATTGTTCAATTTCTGATTTTGAAATTAAATACATAGTACCCTCTACAACTTATGAGTGAATAACGCTGAAAAACAAAAATATGTAGGAGTAGTTTTCGTATTTCCCCCCACTGACTTTTCACTCCCATCTATCCAACTTTATCCGTCCGTTTTATGTTATCCTCGTGTTAATAACTTTGGTATTCGTAGTTATCTGTTCGTTGAAGTGTTACAACATAGAATAGAGATATATATGAGTATTTGTTAATGTTAAACATCGAATTTTATAGTGTTTTGTTCTAATCTCGTTATCTAAAACTTGTACTACTTGCTTTTTGAGTGCTTCAGTAGACATCATTCGCGTCTTTTGGTAACAATCCATGGGAGCTTCACTGTACTATTAACCGTCCCCCCCTCCCCTCCTCAATTTTGTACTTTTGTTTGTTTGTTTGTAGTATTTATGTATGTAGTCCACCACACTCAGAATCTTCAATGTATTCAGAATCGTGGCTGGTGGATTATACATAAGTACTGCATTTGTGTCTGTCCCTAGATAGACACTACTGTTTTTTAATTAGCTTCTCGAGTACGAGTATTGTTTTATCTCATCGCTACAGGTTTGATGATGTGACAATGACATGAACGTGGAAAGAGCAGTTCCTAGTGGCCACATTTTAGTTTGAGTGCTCACTAGTTTTGTGGCCTGGTTTTCTGCTTTCATTGTCCGCTTACGTCAAAGGTCTCCTATTTTGTAAGAATTTGGTAACAGTTTCGGTTGCCTTGCTGTTTTCTGTGTGAATGACTAGTTACTGTTTTGGTTTCGGTAGCTAACGACGCCATATGGCCTCATTATAGTACCATTTGTTGCATATCATTGCGTTTTATTCGTTCGTGACAAAGTTGGAACTTACATCTGTAGATTATGAAAACCATAAAAAGTTTTTTTACGTTTGTGTAGGTTTTTTTTAGAAGGAACTGCCCTTTTTGTATGTAAAGCCTTACCTCAGCTTTCATGTCGTTGAGTATTTGCTTTGTTTCCAGATTGCCTTTCTCGTTAATGTCCCACAGCACCAGTTTGGCTCCAAGTTTGGCAAACTGCAAAGCAACTTTTTTAAAAACAGTATTGGAGCAGATTATGGGTGGTTGTTAGGGGAGGATATTCGTGCAACCTGAAAACGCATTTTATTTTGCTTACCTGTATTGCCATTCCACGGCCGAGTCCACTACCGGAGCCGGTAATAAGAACCACTTCTCCTGGAAATAAGAAATTGTGACGTATATTCGGGTATGCTAAGAATAGCTAGGTTCCCTCAGACTAGAGTTTTACCTAGCTGACCATACCTTTTACGCTCTTTCTCGGAAGCAAGCCCATAGGTAATAAGGCTTTGACGCTGGCAATAATGGACAGTACAAGGCATTTCACGAGTACGAACACTGTCTCGACGATTTGATCGAGCATTGTCATGTCTGAAATAGGCTTTTTTGGATGTACATAAGCGGCCCGAAGAAATTTTTTTCGTTTTTCAAAACCCGGGGACCCCTGTTTGACATGTTCCAGATTGCACGCTGTCATGCGAGAGGATGCAGGAATGCAAGCGTTAAGGACAGTTAGTCTAATATGTTGGATTGCAGTCAGAATCAATGAATAAGCTTTCTGTAGAGTGCGGCAGCTACTTGACAGGGCTAGTATTCGTCAACCCTAGTGCGGTATCTCCATAGTACTATTCCCTTTTGACACTTGATACAATATGCCGCTTCAGAGCAGAGTTGCAAAACTTTAAACTCCAACTGCAAAACTTTCGTTTATAAGAAGGATCAGGAAATGAAGTTAGATGGACCGCCTCAACGACTCTTCTCTACGAAAATGCGGTTTTTGGGGCGATTAACGGGTATAAATAGTTGGAAGCCTGTAGGAACGACGCACAAAAAAGAAATTAGGGACGTCAAATAACAGATAAGACCTTAGCGTTGAATCAGGCTCGATGGGCGGGTAATGCTCGGTCAGCATTTATTGGCGTTATCATGCAGCTGAACTATGATAATGACTAGCGAGGGCATATAAGTGATGTGGTACCCCACGACCTTGATAGACGAGGAAAACATTTGAAAGCACATATGAGTAAACAACCAAACGACTTTATTTTGATGTATTCGTGGTTAAAGTAGTCTTATGTCACTGCGAGGAAGTGTGCTCGATCGAGGGAATCAGACTGTGCAAAGGTTACGAACTCTTGAGCAGGAGCCTGAGTTTATAATCGTAGAGTGTTTACGAATGAAGTTCAGGAAAAGCTTGAACGCGATCTCTGATGTTGCGCTTTTTCAATTTGCATCACTAATGAATCATCAGTTTAAAAGGAAACAACTTCAAATTGGCTGGTATCCAAGGTAACAAGTTATTAAGTCTAGGCAAAGTATGTGCTTTCATGTGGTGCAGCAGCATGAATTTAGTCACTTCGTTTCATTATTTCTAACTATGATTCCAAATCAGAATGTTGTCAGAATGCTTCGTTTTTCTTTGAGTCGCCCACCGCAAGGTTAGTGAAGGTGCATAGATGGTTCACGATTTCAGTTTCCACGGTCTAGCCTTTGAACTCTTTTCTACAACTTTCCCTAACGTCTTTGCTATCGAAACATTTGAAGGCCTTACTCTCTTGAGTAGGAATCGATTCCATGTTGTGCTGACAAGGAACAGCCTATTCAACCGGCAAGAAAAATTGTTGCACAAACAGTGGGACTAAGTCGGTGAGAGTGAGAAGGCTTAAAGGCGAGGCAAAAAATAAGAGGAAAAATGTTTCAAGAAACGATATGTAAAGGCCGCAATTAAGTCGATGCGAGATAATGCTGCGAGATAAAAGGGGTGAGAGGGAAAAATAATTGGAGAGGGTTTAAAAACTTTCATAATCCTGTATGAGATGCAAAAAGGGAGAGTAACCCCCAGTATGAGAATCGGAACTTCTGGTGACCGACCCATTTTAGAAAACTCAAAAGCTGGAATGAGGACTTGAACGAGTGTCAGGCACATAGTGAAATAGAGGAGTTTGAACAGTGAAGTGATCAGGAATTATTTGGTTGCTGGAAAAAGAGGGTCTCTCGAGCTCAGCTATCTCCTTTTTCTAGTCTATCAGTAGTTTACGGCCTGGTCAGTCGGGTGAAGAGTCAGCGTAATTGCAATGTGACGCTTCACCAGGCTTTTTAATTGTTCTCAATATTAATGTGCCTACAGATACATGAAACTTTGCTTTCCTTCAGCCGTATTTTCAACACCAGATTTCAGTACCCAGAGTTGAAGTCAATGTTTCCAGTCGATAATCATTGATGGTCTGTAATCCATCTACCTTTTCTTGGCAAATTTTGCTTCTCATCGCTTGGGCGCTTCGTATTTGGAATTCTAGGTGTTTCCATGAATAAAATAGCGATAGAATGATTCTTGAAAATCTCCTCGTTCAATGTGCGCACACTCCGCCCATCGAGACCGCTACATATTACTGTATGCACATCGTTTAACGCACTTTCTTATTAAGCAAACAAACTTGTTTAAGCTTCATCTGAAGAGGAATAAATCAGTTCAAGGCGAAAAGAAAGCTTTCCAAATGTCCGGCGGTCTCATTGGGTTTGTTGCTTATCTTAGAACTCTGGGAAGCCACCACAAATGGAGGAAAAGGGCATATATGGAACGTAGAATTTATGTCACAGCATAGTTTTAGTAAGTGGAGAGTAGTAAAGGAGCGAATAACCATGGGAAAACCAATTATAGAAAGTTGTAAGACTGTAACATGGCAGAATCCTCCAACACATTGAAGCAGAGGATCTCGAGAAAGCTAAATCCATAAAAAAAACGGAAAGTATTGTGGCAGAAATTACCAGTGAGTGTGCACGCGAGAGAGATGAGTGAAGGAAGGATGAAAGAGAAAAGCTGGTTAGTTTGGAAGCCTGCAGAGAAAAAGCCAGTAAGTTTGGAAGCCTAGAGAGAATGTTCCGAGAGCGCTTGCAAAAAGCTTCTGGAAGTTGATACGTGCATGCTGAAGTGCCAAAGTACGAGAGAATACTTTATACGCGTCGAGTATTCCACACATACTTTGGCACCTCAGCATGCACACATTAGCCTCCAGAAATGAAGCTGGAAAAATCAATGTTCTCTTTTTATGATAGCACAGAGCCAAGGAGGAGGAGGAGGAGGTTGAGGAACAAGTGGGCAACCAGTCAGGGACACATAGCTAAAGGGCACATCCCGAGGCTGCAATCCACAATTGACAGACAAGTGACCACGTGTTATAGTGCAAGCTCACAGAGCTGAACCAATGTGACAGACGCATGGATGAACAAAGCAGGAAGAGCGCGCCGATTCCATGAATTCCGAAGGGCAATGCCCCAGTAGTTCCCAGTGTCCCTGCTGGGGAACTAATCCCCATAGTTGTCAAGACTCACTCACAGGCTAGAAGTGCGCATGTACTAAAAATAAATTCAGAGAACCGAAGGGATCCAACAAACTTGTTTTTCGTCACTTTGCAATCGAAACTGCCTGAAGTTTTCTTCAGAGCCTCGGTTTGTGTTTTTACTGGAATTGCTTAGCACTGAGACTTGGCTGCCTTGCTGAACGCCTAGTGCAAGTGTTCGATTGGCATTCGAGCAAAATCCTCCACAAGCCACACCCAATCGCTTTCCCCATCAATCTCAATTTTCGGAGTTTCCTGAGAACGAGAGTAGCATTGCTTTTGCTAGGTTACAATCATTTCCCCGGTGGATTTTATGCAGGCAGTTCAACATGGGGAAATCAATACTAATACACAGTAAAGGAATTCGGATTGTACTTTATTCTGATTTTTGTTGCATGCCTATAGGGCTCATGAGGGGGGATCCTCAATGACCTCATAGCAACAACAATTTCTGAATTATTTGTAAATCAAAGGCATGTTACTTCATGATATTGTTGGATCCCGGAATCGGGAGCGACAGGAAGATTTGCATCTGGGGAAGTAGTGTAGAGATCAAAGAGTCTGTTCTATATTTGATAATTATTCTATTTTTAATGGAAGATTTTTTGCTTTTGTCTGCTATACGGGCCTCTTCACCCTTCTCCACCGCTACCCACTTTTCGCCCTCTCATTCTACTTTTTTTCCGATAAATATTTTTGAAAACTGGGACTGGGTAGATATACAGAGTTGGCCAATATGTATATTAGGATTCCGGAAAACAGATAACAGATTCTCTGTTGAAGATGGTTTGTCATTTTTTTTCTGTCAATTCTTGAAAATATTTGATTTTAATTCGCAAAAATAGTAAGTAACAACTATACAATGCCGAATGCAGTGGAATGTAAATTATGAGTGAAGGTGGCCTCTACACATTGGTTTGCCGTCTGCCCTCTTTGCATTTGCATAGCTTATCGCATGTTGACATATAATGACGCCGTTGCTCATAACAGGAGTACCAGAGCAGAAGCGAAGGAAAACATCCAATCTTCACGTGAAAAAGGCAAGGGCTTCAAAATTGTTCAGAGCCATCAGAGGATCGACTTTAGTGAATCCCAAAAAATGAAAACGTTTCTTCAAGTCACAATTTTGTCTCTTCAGTACGTGTGGTAATAGCCGTACAGTAATCGCCTCTCAGTAGTGTAATACTTTGAACGTTCTGAAACTTACGCCTTACTCCTTGGGATGTGCCATACCTCGAAGTTCTTCTCGAAATGTCGGGAACGTTTATATGCCTACTTGCAACTAGACGAACCCTGGCTTCTGCGAGCTTGTGCTCTTTCTAATGGATTGAGATCTTATCTTCGACGGGAAAATTTTACTACGGCAATTGAAGGGTAACTGAGCTTATGGGTGTGAATATAAAGTAAACAGCATAAAATAAACAATCGGTCCACAGTCTATAACGTAATGCAAAAAAAATTACCTTCGAAACATACGGATTGGGATTTTCATAGCAATTTTGTTCCAATTCAAGCAACTGTGTTTGAACGGAATGAGGAAAAGAAACGAAAAAAAAGGATCAAAGAGATCAATGGGCGTACTGATGTTAATGCAGCGGGAATAGTATGAGTCAGACAGCATTCCAGAGGCGATGATGTTTACATTTTTTTTGTCCCAACGATTCATTCACAACAGAAGTGAACAAAAAAGTCGTTCTTCTACATTCTAGCTCACTCAGTAATGTTAGCCTATGATTAAATTCGAGAAGCCTAGCGCTGAAAGGCCAAAGAAAGGTCGAGAATGAAGGATACGTTGTGGCTATTGAGAAGCCATAGCCACAGCTGTCATAGATGACCGCAGCAGTCGTCTAATAAATTGGCCAGATGGTTGGGATTCTGGCTATTTTTCGATAATTGTATGTATTTTTCATAGATTGAGGAGTTCAGTGGAACTTGCTGGTATTGAGCCGTACGAACAAATTAAGCTTCGAAGATGGAGAGCTGAGATTATTTATCACAGTAGAAATGAATGAAAGGTAAGACCCAAAAGAAG